TGTGTGTGTGTGTGTGTGTGTGTGTGTGTGTGTGTGTGTGTGTGTGTGTGTGTGTGTGTGAGAGAGAGAGAGCGGGGGTCAGGACATGTGACATGCGTGTGCTCTTTATACACTGAACACAGCTTACAGTCAGTCACACTGCAAAAAATTATTCTCTTGCTTAGTATTTTTGTCTTGTGTTCTAGTATAAATATCTAAACATTCTTGAATCAAGATGCATTTACTGTACAAGTGAAATGACTTAAGATATTATGTCTTGTTTTCTGTAAAAAATATAAAAATGTTGTTAGTTTTTGCTTAAAACAATCAAAAATATCTGCCAATGAGGCAAGAAAAATAATCTTGTTTAGTCTTTGAATTAAGATTATTTTCCTTACCGCATTGGCAGATATTTTACTTGTTTTAAGCAAAAACTAACAAAATTTTGATTATTTGTTTAGAAAACAAGACTTAATATCTTAAATCATTTTACTTGTGCAGTAAATGCATCTTGATTCAAGAATGTTTAGATATTTATACTAGAACACAAGACACAAACACTAAGTAAGAGAATCATTTTTGCAGTGCATCCAGCAGACTTACATGTAAACATGGATAAAATGGATTTTAAAAAACAGCTTATAAAAATATAGGTTCATAATTTGCATCCATGAAGAACCTTTGACAATTTAAAGAATCTTTTGTGCATTTGAAAGGTTATTAAAATGTTCTTTCCACTAAGAAAAAATGTTTTTTATAAGAACTGATCACTGAAGTTTATTTATAAGCATGCGTAGTATTATAATTTTGTGTTTGTGTGTTTGTGTATAAAGTGGTTTGAGGAGAAACAGCAGCAGTTTGAGAATCTGGACGTACAGCTCAGAAAACTTCACGCTAGTGTGGAATCACTGGTGTGTCACAGGAAGGGTAATAATACAAATAATAACTTAAAAATATTAAGAACACATGTTTTATGAGGTATATTTATGATCTAATACACTACTAGTCAAAGGTTTGGAATCAGTGTTTTTTTTGAGGCTCTTCTGCTCACCAAGGCTGCATTTATTTGATCAAAAATACAGTAAAAATTTGAAATATTATTAGAATTTAAATCAGCTGTTTTCTATGTGAATATCTGCTAAACTGTAATTTATTTCTGTGATGTGCAGCTGTATTTTCAGCATCATTACTCCAGTCTTCAGTGTCACATGATCTTCAGAAATCATTCTAATATGCTGATTTGCTGCTCAAGAAACATTTCTGATTATTATCAATGTTGAAAACAGTATTTTTTTGTATTTTTGTGGAAACCGTCATACACTAGCATTCAAAGGTTTGGGATTTAAAAAAAAAAACACGTTTTTATTAATCAAGGATGCATTACATTAATCAAAAGTGACAGTTAAGACATTTATAATGTTACAAAATGTTTCTATTTCAATTAAATGCTGTTATTTTGAACTTTCTGTTCATCTGTGAATCCTGAAAAATAAAATGCATCACAGTTTTGTGAACTGAAGATCATGTGACACTGAAGACTGGAGTAATGATGCTGAAAATACAGCTTTGATCACAGAAATAAATTATAGTTTAACAGATATTCACATAGAAAACAGCTGTTTTAAATTCTAATAATATTTCACAATTTTTACTGTATTTTTGAACAAATAAACGCAGTCTTGCTGAGCAGAAGAGACTTTGTAATTATTCCACACGTTTGACTGGTGATGTACAGTATATGCTGCATAGTGACTCTTCACTCTTCACTCTCAGAGTTGTCTGTGAACACGGCGTCGTTCGCTAAAAGCGCGGCTATGCTGGGAAACTCGGAGGATCACACGGCGCTGTCGCGAGCTCTGTCCCAGCTGGCCGAGGTGGAGGAGAAGATCGACCAGCTGCATCAGGATCAGGCCTGCGCTGATTTCTACCTGATCTCAGAGCTGCTGGGAGACTATGTGCGGCTCATCACCGCCGTTAAAGTGAGTGGAAGACATCCTGAGCGTTTCATCTGGCCGTTTTTCCAATAAACTTCAGTTAGTTTTCTGACAAGGCAAACATAAAAGATGTCAAAAACATATGTGACCCTGGAGCACAAAACCAGTCATAAGAGTCAATTTTGTGAAATTGATAAATAAATAAGCTTTCCATTGATGTATGGTTTGTTAGGATAGGACAATATTTGAAAATCTGGAATCTGAGGGTGCAAAAAAATCTAAATATTGAGAAAATCATCTTTAAAGTTGTCCAA